CTATGTTTATTATATTTGTCCATTACTCCACCTAACCTATCTATGATGTTAGTATGAACTTATTCTGTTGACCCCCTTCCGTTGACATTTTTAACATTTTTCCCGGTTTTCTCTGACAACCACTCTTAAAATAAAACCCCTTTCGGCTTCCTACAACGGCTACGAGAGACATTTCCTCAATTTCCTTGACTGTTGATGATCGTCTTTGGTTTCACTCTGTAATTCAAACCATGGACTTGCGGTCATTTCTTCAAATCTTACAGATATCGATGCCATCGTTGTTAGCTCGGAAGATTCGGGTAAGACTTTTGTTTATGTATTTTTTTTATTCGTTTCCCAATAGTGTCCTTCTGGGCGGGTTTTCACTCGGGGATCGACAATTGTATTTGCTCCATGCATTCACGCCAACTTAAGTAAGTGGTAGTGGCTTGAAACCAACAATCTTGTTCGAGTATCATGGTTCTTGTTTATGCAGCTCCAAAACTTAATAGTTCATTAGTAACAAATGTATTATTTGTACAACTCGAAGATGTGAAGGGGGGTTTTAATGCGCGTTGAACTAGATCCCCCGCCGTGTATTTTAGGTGTATTTTGTCTTAATTTTCATTGAATATTATCTGTGAGAAGTTTCAAGTCGCTGCCCTTCTTCTCTTAATTCTGACGCTATGCCTTATGGAACCGCCAAACACATGGAAATCAGAATATTTAGGTAGATATACCGTTGATTTATTTACACATTTTAAAGCAAGGCCCATCTCACAAACGTCTCGGCTTGAAATTCCGAGCTAACAACGATGACATCGGTATCTGTAAGATTTGAAGAAATGACGGCAAGTCACCGGTTTGAATTACAGAGTGAAACTAAGGACGATCATCAACATTCAAGGATATTGAGGAAAGGTCTCTCTCGTAGCCGTTGTAGGAAGCCGAAAGGGGTTTTATTTTAAGTCACCTACAGCTGCAACCTGAAAAAGCTTCTTCTACTAAAAAAAATTAAATAATCGTGGCAATATATTACAGTTACAGAAAGAAACAGCTTACCTTCCTCCATCATGCTCGCTCCTGCGGGAAACTATAGTAAAAATGTTACTAGAAAATTAAGGTACAAGTAAAAAAAATAACACTNTTCTCTTAATTCTGACGCTATGCCTTATGGAACCGCCAAACACATGGAAATCAGAATATTTAGGTAGATATACCGTTGATTTATTTACACATTTTAAAGCAAGGCCCATCTCACAAACGTCTCGGCTTGAAATTCCGAGCTAACAACGATGACATCGGTATCTGTAAGATTTGAAGAAATGACGGCAAGTCACCGGTTTGAATTACAGAGTGAAACTAAGGACGATCATCAACATTCAAGGATATTGAGGAAAGGTCTCTCTCGTAGCCGTTGTAGGAAGCCGAAAGGGGTTTTATTTTAAGTCACCTACAGCTGCAACCTGAAAAAGCTTCTTCTACTAAAAAAAATTAAATAATCGTGGCAATATATTACAGTTACAGAAAGAAACAGCTTACCTTCCTCCATCATGCTCGCTCCTGCGGGAAACTATAGTAAAAATGTTACTAGAAAATTAAGGTACAAGTAAAAAAAATAACACTCAGTCTGTACAGTCTGCACAGTCTGCACGGTCTGCACAGTCTGCAGTCTGTAGTTTAGGTCTGCATGGTCTGCGTTTCAACATGACCGCTCAGTAGATCCCTTGCACCCCTCGTCCAGTTCCAGACATCAACAAACTTCCAAAGTATCACTATCTGCCCGTTGCAGAAACACCCATCACAAATAGAGACGACGGTAAAAGAAGAGAAATGGATGATTATCACCCTAGAGCACGTTTAAAGCAAGTCCATAAAAAGAATGAAATCAATATCATCGAGGATAATGCAAGTGTTCAGACCTTTTGCAACAGATACGTTGTCGAAGAAAGTCTCGTGAAAAAATACCAAGAACATTTAAATCATTTAGAGATGATGAGTGAAAAGAGAACAATGGAAAAGAAAAACAAGAATTTGAAAGAGAACACAATGTCTTATAAGGAATTTGACTGGATGGAAATAACGGCTTGGAAACTAAAATTTCGAGGACTTTTTTGGACTTTTTACATTTAGGGCATGAATTTTTCGTCATTTCAGACCATGGGGCCTAAAAATGAGCCTAACTAGCTTTAAAAAGGGGCAATACGGAGACAATACGTCCTAGCCGGCATGATCACATGCTGTTTACGGAAAATTCCCTAATCCATGTCAGGAAATTGTGTACTTTAAAGCCTCCCCCAGGGCATGACTCAGCAACTGAGGACATTTCTGCTACGTTTTCAATGGTGGTTAGCATGCAAGGATTTTTCCCATGCCTATCGTCAATGATTTGCTCAGTGGTAATAGATGGGGTGGCCCCAGAGTGGTTTTGCATTGAAATTGGCATGCAACAGAATTTCGCATGCTCTGTAAACATAATTTGAGGTTCCGTGACTCACCAACGCCGCGAGAAGCCTAGGTTCTAGTAATAAGTAATTCATGCCCAACTTGCGAATATCTCCGGCATGCCGAGCATGCCAAATTTTATGGCACGCCCGGCATGTCAAATTCTCTGACATGCCCGGCCTGCCAAATTCTCTGGCATGCCGGGCATGCCAAATTCTCTGGCTTGCCGGGCGTGCCATAAACTAGGTCATGCCGGGCATGCCAAAATCGGTCTCTGGCATGCTCTCAACGCACAGGTTATAATTCCTTGAATCTACGGATAATTTAAGCCTGGCTAAAAAAAAAACTAAACAGATCACCGTGCTTATCTTTTGATCTACGGTTTATAGGTCATTTACACGATGACGTCATTGCTATTCCTCTCATTTTTATAGATTTGGCGAAGTTTAAATGACAAAAGCTCTAATTTTCACAAGAAAGTAAAACCCTGAGGAATTCTGCCGTAGTAATAAAACAGTGTCATTGTGTAGATGACATGTTGGGGGATTGTCAAAACGGCCTCACCCCTTTTAATGAGTCTTTAATAGGATTCCCATTTCACATTGCGAATAAAATGGAATTGACTGAAATCAGTAAAAATAGAGACAGAGACTATTTTCAGTGTATAATAAAATGCATCTATGTTCCATGAAAGCTTTTAAAAACACAAGGTTATAGAATATCTTTCAACGTTCATTACATTACAAACTGAGCTAAGCTCCAAAATCACTGTCCATTATTCAGTAAATTGTTTCGTATTTTGATAAGGAGTCTGAGTTCCTCTGTCTTGTTTTGTAGGCTTGCCAGGGATTATTGTTTATGTGTCATTACCAGAGTCTGTGTTCTTTGTTTTTAACTCAAAGAAAGTCAGTAATAACTGACAGTATCAAATAATTGCTCTCTAGAAAAGTAATTATCTCCTCGTCATGTCTGGAAGTTACCTGTAACAAAAAATAAATGGAATGTTAACACATGCAAGGGCAATATGAAAAAATGAAATAGAACGTGTAGAGCTCAGCTTCTCTTAGCATATTTTAGTCTGTTAAAGGTCGCAACTAATTGTCTGAGGCTAATTTCACAAGCGTGTGCAATTGAGATAAATGCATGGTAAATAAAGTGAAAGAAACGTGGTTTCACATTAGCCAATTTACATTGCGTTGTTCGATAATGTTTACACGCTTTTCTACTGCGAAATAAATCTTTGCATTTGGGTTTGCATTGCAAGTCAAGATTATCCGAAGTTTGACTGACACTCGAACAACAGGTTCATTTTTAAGCAGGTAAGGTGAAGACCTATATAAAGCAGGAATATGTAAAGGAAAGGCATCGAAAACTCTTTTGCATCTTTGTGGCGATATTCTCTCATGGCCCGTCAACTGATTACTAGGGGTTGTAAAGAAAAAATACATTAGGACCAAAGGTTAAAGCCTGTCCTGTTACATCATTTCACATGTTACCTAGAGTTCTAATAAATAGGTCATAAAATAGGATTTAACGAGAGCGAATTTGTTTCTCAATCGGTGTATAAAAAAAGTGAAGCTATCAAATGAGAAGTTTATAAAGTATCAAAATTATTAAATTAAAAGCTCAAATAATTAGGAAAATTCCTATACGAAAACAATACTAGTGACATTAAATTGATCAGATAAAATTCTCAGAAAAATACGTCGAATAAAAGCCTCATTGTTTGCTTTTGTTTTTGCGTAAAAGGTAGCCAAGTTGAAAAAGCGCCTAAATCTTAGTTTTTTACGTTGAACGTGTTTATTAGCTTAGTTTTCGTTAGTTTAAAAGCTTTATAACCCAGTCATAATTTTCGGGTTAAAATAGTACAAAATCATTTCAAAAACCATGTTCATTTAAAGAAGAGCCGGCAAACGTGAACATTTTGTAATTCAGAAATCGGACCCAGCCAGGTTATTTAAGCTTAGAATTTTTTGCATTTTTGGGTTCTATAAATTTACCAGAATCGCCTCTCAAAGGCTTACTGTAGTAAAGCATTTGGTAGTACACTTGTAGACAAGCAATGTAAGGCATAAGTGGTTGCTTGGATGAGACATCCAAAAGAAAAATTAGTTTTGTGGACCTAAACGCACATTCACAGACTGCTTATTGAGTTGTTTACAACTTTGCATTGACACCTGCAGCATGTTCATTTTTTTAAAGCAAAATCCAAATCTGATTTTGGCATCTGATTTACGGATATTTTATTTTGTCTCTAAAAGTGATTGTGATATCCGTTTGATTGTCTTTCAAACAACAGTCAAACTATGCAGCAAAAATAAGTAACGTTCCCAGTACTGAAAAAATATGACCGTAGGTGCCAAAATTAATTATGCCCGAGCTATAAAATTATATCTGACTTTTTTTAGCTTTGGTTTCTATATTTTTGAAGTTTTCTCTAGTCTTCTTAACAGCAGAAGAAGATTACAAGACGTACAAACAGAAACAATCCGAAGTGGACGAGTTGACAACCACTTATGCCTGAGGGTTCTTAGGCATGCTCAACAGCAAGATAAACTTATTGCCAAAAGGATAATTCACGGGATTTGTTCGATATTCAGGCTTTTTCTTTACCAAATTAATACTAAATTTGTACTTACAGTCTCTCGCAGAATCCATTTCTTGTCCAGCATTCACCAACATCTCAACCATGCACCGCAGAAAAAAAAAAGACAAACAAGTGCGAAGAGACATGACAAAATCATGACGCCACAACTGCCACGCTACAACAAACTAAATTCATCGTAATCCGAAAACACTTCTGCGGAAATTCGGCCGATTTCGTGCGAGCTCGGGGTATCTTCGGATGGAGCAGATGACGTTGCTGAAAGGACTATCGTCAGCAAGGAGTAAAACAGTTTGCGAAATTCGCATAGCCGACAAGAAGCGCACTGAAAACCTAAGCAAAATCTCTCTGAGAAGGCAGTCCAAATTCACCAAATCAGAACGTCTGTGCAGTATTAACGTCGTACTCTCGTACTGACTTGAACGACCTGGTAAGCTTAATTTTCACCAGTCTTTTAATGCTGTTGACCGAGAAACATTTCGACGCGATAGAACTTAAGCATGGATATAAAGTTTATACTGACGGTGAAGATTTGTTATCTTATTGTTTAAAACGCTTTTCCGCGATCAAATTTAAATCTGGACCCAGAAATGTCAGTATCGCTTTGAAATAAAAGGATTAATTGATCTGTGATTGCAAGTGAAGTATTCTATTTTATGCATGAATCTAATGTTGTCTTGCTGTGCTTTTTATTTTTGCCAGTCGATCCCGTGACATACATTGTGACAAACATAACTTTTTTTGTTATAATCTCCATTTATTGCCAGGCATATATGAAACCTGTAACTTCAAGCTCCCTAAGATATATTTGGCGATTATGTGATTCTCAGGATATGATGCTGAAGCGAACATCAAAATCAGTCACGCTGGGCATGCCAATTTCATGCCCGGCATGCCGGGCATGCCAAATCCAACTGGCTTCACGATCGGCATGCCCGGCATGCCAAACCAGAGGAGCAAAAACTGGTAATGAATTATCAACCCGGCGAGAGATCTGGGACCTAAGTTTAGCTAGGTCAATTTTGGGCTGCAAGGGCATGAACCTATTTTTTCCATGCCTATGAGATGTTATTTCTAAGTACCAATGTTCCCTTGAATTTTGTCATGCCTAAATATATAAAATTTTCCCTCTCTCATTAATCCTCAGACTGAATGCAATTTTTACGCTCGCTCGGCATGTTCAACTGAAAATCATGCCCATACCCTCATTCAAAACAAAATGTTATCAAATTTTAGTTTCCAAGCCGTTAAATGCTGTAATAGTGGAACACTAGCAAAACAGCGTGTATGTGTTGTAGACAAATGTATCCATAAACATAATTTGCTTGCAGTGAAAGGTAATAACAAGCCTCAGAAAGTCAATGCTATTATGGATCACTTACGGTCATTTGCCGAGAGCACACAAACAAACAAACAAAGCTCCCTCAGTGTGGAAGAGGTGGATGATCATGATGAATGTGAAGAAGATGAAGGGGATGAGGCATTACCCACTTGTCCTAGTGATGAAGACTTTGTATTGGGAGAAATAGGAGGGTCGAGTAATCAGCCGTCAGAATCAGAGTCGGACTCTTAATGCTGTCATCGAAAATGTATGTATATAGAATTACAAAGAACAGATTAGAAATATATTTTGAGTTTTCGTAGTACTGACTCACCCTAATGTATTGCAGGAACTAGATTTTGTCATTTACACAAGAGGGGAGGGTAATGAAATTTTAGGCCAAGCTCAAGAGGAGGGTCAGCAAATTTCACTCCCATTGCAGGGGTGGCATGGGTCACCTCATTTCCGAAACCAAATTTAAAATTACCACCCCTCCCCCCCCCTCCCCCCACTGCTAATTTCTGACAAGTCCCTAAAGTTAACTTCGAAGATATGGTTCATGAAAAAGCTGGCTTATGCCGCTATTTTCTTATCAGACAGGTTTCAACAATTTACACTAACAGCCGAAGTATATGATAAACAGACATAAATGACGAGGTATCATATAGAACTAAATTGCGACTGATGACTTTTTTATGGGACATAATCAGTGTCTCTAACGAAAACCTCTAGTTAACAAGCAAAAACACACTTTGAAGAAAACAATGGTGGGACTTAACTTACTTAGACGGAACGTCCCGACACAATATCTGAGCATCTAATCTTGTCATTTGCTCATAATTTAAGCAGGCTAAAATGCCAGGTTAACTGAAACGCGCTCAATTAATAGGCATTCGGCGAATTACTTCTTCAAAAGTTTGCAATTCAGTCAGTCTTTAATTTGTATCATCTTATCGGTAAACCAGAATTTCATTTCAATCTCTTCAGATTTTTCTTGTTGCCTTTTTTTTAAGGATGAATACAGATGTTTCCAATCGCCCATTATCTATACCAGAAACAGGCAAGAAAATAAAAAGAAATGGCAAAATTTACCAATGTTGCGGCTATTCCACATAAATCATCATTTGATCATCGGGGATCATGCTGAAAAAATGGGTAACCAGGAATTTACACGGCAATGCTGCGTCTTATGTTATATTGATAAAGAAGTCAAAGCGCCTCTATATTCAAGAGTCAATTGACAACAACAAAGGAAATCCAAAGGAAATTTTAGAAAGCGTTGAAATCTCTTACAAAGGCTCAAACGTCCAGCAATATCACTGAGTTAAAGCGGGAAAATGTTACGTCTGCAACAAGCTATGGCCATAATGGGTTTACTCCAACAGCCAAATTTAACCATAAGAAGCTCAAGGATCATAGTCATCGAAGCTTGATTATTTTATCACCCAGTACAATTTGTGAACTATCTCGTACATAGTGAATTGCTATACGACCTGCAGTCAGCTTTTTGTGAAGGTCACTTTACTGAGTCTGCTCTGATCAAACTTACAAACAAAATATTGTTCACCTTGGACCGGGACGAAGTTACCGGAATGATTTTTGTCGACTTTGGAAAGGCATTTTAAGTTGTTGATCATCAACCTTTATTATCTAAATTAAGGCTCTACAAAGCCAGTGACTCGCACTTTCTTGGTTTACATCATATCTTTCCGAGAGAAAACAGTTCGTGACTAAAAATGGACAAAGATCAGACCCGCTTGCTATAAAACAAGGCGTACCACAGGGTTCTGTGTTGCGACCTATTTTGCTCCTTTTATTTGTCAATGATACACCACCACAGCTACCGAGATCTTCTACTGATACTTTCGCTGACAATACAACATAAGAACAGCTAGTGCGCACAAAGGAAAGGAGAAAAAGAAAGAGCGAGGAAGAAAGGAGAGGAGAAAAAAGCAATGGTTGCACTCTTAGTTTTTATAATGGCTATTTTGGAGATTTTTGGCCGAAAAAACAACTGTTGGCGGTAACGTTCTCATAAATCCGGCTAGATGTATTTTTTGAAGTTTGCCGCTGTATTTTCCGTCTGGACCAAAACTTTCACGTCACACATGTTCGACAGTACCGGGTTGTAAAGTTTTTTATACTGACTTCTTTCATATTCGCGCTGCAAACAAGCCGAATAATCATTTTGTGCAATGTTTATTTGTTGCAGGGAACTGCAATTAGTAATTAGTTATTGCCAACAACAAGCAGCCTCGCGAAGACGCGGGGCTACGAGGCGGTAGCATAATAAAGCCGTGCGCGAAATGAATCTTGAAGCGATATAACCTAAGGTAGTGTAACTTTTGTGACGTAATGCAGAACAGAGAATATAAGAAAAATATGCTATGTAAGGTTAGTATTTCAAATTCTTTATGCAGTAGAACAATTTAGTTCACTTCTTTCAAGGTAATTTTTGTTTATGCAATCGAATTTTTCGCAAAGACACTCATGCTCAACTGGCTATTTACGCCGCCAGGAAAAAAAATTATGACGTTGCAAAAATTACTGTAAGTGTCTTTCAGGACAAAGAATTCAGAAGGCTTCATCGGCGCACCATAAACCTTTTTTTTTCCTGAAAAGTAGACTTCCTAAGCCTTAAAAAGAGACCAAATGTAAATCTGTACGTTAAATATTCGCGGACTTATGATTTTGGAGGATTCTGAGTTGGCTTATAAGACAACTAGATTTTACGCAAAATGACCTGTGCGCAACTTCGGACAAAAACACGAACTTCATTTCTCGACACATATGCGGTAAAAAGTCGGGATTTCAAATTCTTTATACAGTAGAACAGTTCAGTTCACTGTTTCCACGGCAATTTTCACTTTATGCAATCGAATTGAGTTCAAACTGTTTTTCCGAAATTACGGTAATTCATGACATTTCTAAACAAATTGAACAGCGCGCGCGTGTAGGTAAAATCTTTGCTCGTTGGCACTAACCGATAGCTATAACTAGTTAATTATGTTCATAATTTATCTCGAATACGTCAAACACCCTTTATGGTCAGTTAAACTTCGTCATTTTGTCTTAAGTTAAAACTCTCATTACCAGTCACTCTATATGCATTGCACTGATCTCACGATGTTAAGTTAAAACCGCTTATTCAAAACCCGTAGAAGGTTGCTTTGTGTTTCCAAGCAATTGTCACTAGGGTTTTCCGATTTAGCGGAAGTTCTGCGGAAGTGGAACTAGCCAGTTTCAAATGAGTTCAATTTCTAGCCTTTCTATACGTGAAATTCGTTTAACGCCGACTACTGT